CCCCCCCCCCCCCCCCCCCCTGCTAATTGCGAGCCCTGTCTTTGCCAGTGGTTTACTGGGACTCTGATTCTGACTCCTACTCTCTTTCTGTTTCTGTTTCTGTTTCTGATTGTAATTGTGCATCGGCATACTCCCACATGATGTAGGTACTCCTGTCTGCAGTCGCTGCGAATTTGGTATTCGCGTGCCATGAGCCGACGGGCCCTGCAGGAGGACTGCCAGATGTTTTCGCTGCTCACTCTGGTGGCTTTTGGGATCATTGGCACCCTGCTGGTGGGCATCCAGTACTATGGCATGAACAACCAGTCCTGGGCCATAAGCAAGCTCTGGACAAAGTCCTGGATGCTCTTCTTTTTGTTCATGACGGTGAGAGCGCTTTGCTACCAGCCTCTAATCCTCTAGCCTCTAATCGGCTTTTGCCACTGCCTTGTGCCTCTGCCTACCACAGATAACAGTCTATTCTGCCAATATTTTCATGCTCGTCAAGTCCCAACTGACGCCTTGGTATCGGTGAGTAGATCCGTCATCACGTCTATACATACATATCTACCATACATACACCCATCCTCGTCCTCCAGCTGGTGGCAGTCTGCAAGGGACATCAAACTGATTCTGGAGAACCGGCGACCCTTTCCCAACCCGAATCGGCTGCAGCGCTTGGTGGTGGACTCTGGCTCGCTTTCCGCCTCCATGATTACCCATCACGATCAGCACGAGCTGCAGACGCACGTGGCCGGAATCTCTATGCCATCCACATCTAGCGAGGAGGAGCAGCCCGAGGGCCAGTCCGCCCGCCAGTGGGGCAAGCGCATGGAGAGCGCCATGCTGGCTGCCGCTATTGCAGCCACAGTGGAATCGATTGCTGACGCTAGTGCCCGGCAGAGCGAGAGCAAGGCCAAGCAGGCCGAGGGTACCGGCAACTAAAACGGCAATGACAAGAGCCAGACAGAAGGAGAGGAGAAATGTGGCAGGTGGCAAGTGGCGAGTGGCAAGTGGCAAGGCGGTGTTTGCGTGTCATTTGTTTAATTTAGTTTCAATGCTTTTAATGAACTTTCCCAATGAGCGGACTTCTATTAAGTCCGGACCTGATGATGCAGCTGTTCTGGTTGCTCTTCCGGTTTCTGCTCGTGGCTGTGCGTGTCGGTGCCTGCACTTTGCTTTTGCCGGCTTCCTTCGAGCCGCACAACTTCCGTTTCCTGTCTTTCATCCCCTTCACCCCATAAAGGCGAGGAAATTAAAGCTGATAGCAGCACGAGCCACGAGGCTACGAGGCTGGAGTCAGAAGAAGCTGGTGCTGCTGCCACAAAATGGCTGATGGCATAGGCAGTCACGTGATTGATGGCTCATAAATTAGTCATTTTCCTTTAGCCGGTGCGTCGGTGTGTGTTTGTGTGTTTGTGTGTGTGTGTGCTTGGGGGGAAACTCGTTAAGGCCAGGGACACGCCCATGCCTGTGCCGTGGCAACACCCACAGGACGTTGCTCAGTTGTCGCCTGTCTTGTTTGGCAATTTTTCTCCCACCTCGAGTGCAGCCTCCAAATCACCCAGTAATTTAGTCTAAGCCTCTCTCCCCCCTCACACTCCCTCTCTCTCTCTCTCTCTCTCTCTCTCTCTCTCTCTCTCTCTCTCTCTCTCTGTACTTCTCCGTATCTGCCTCTCTATCACTCTGGCATCATCTAATAACAGCACGAGTCCTGTTGGCTAATGCACACTGGTACTGGTTCGAGGGCCGGATGGAGTCAAGGGAGCCTCCGTTCAGTGTTTGAATTTTGAATGATTGGACGCACTGTCACCACTTTGGAGCACTGTGAGCCGGCGCCTGGTATGGCCACGGCCAGGGGCTAAGCCTGGCTAAGCACGGAACCGGGCAGGACGCCCACCTAACGTGCTGCCCATGTTGACATATTAGGCCCTGGCAACGTCAGTGCTCGTTGTGAAGGGTTAACAACCCACAGCGACCTTCAATCATTTGCCTGCGGACTGCGGACTGCGGACTGTGGACCCCAATGCTTAGGCAATCACGGCCAGAATGATTGAGTGCCTGCAAATCCCTGGCGGAATTTTCATCTACGAGTATCTGGCACAGTTTCCATATGCTCTCTTTTTCCATTCCCCTATTGCCTGCCTGCCCGTTTGCCCATTAACTCTTGAAATTGTGAAAAGTCTTTCAAAGTGTTTTGTTAATTATTTCATTTGTATGCAAATACTACTCAGATCCACAATTCATGATTATTTAGAAGTGAAGCGAAACGTTCGATCTATAAAGATTAGCAAAGAATATCGAAGAATATTCTAGGGTATTTTGCGCCTCTAAATCCACCGCAGAACTCAAATATCGATTGTAAAAATTGCAAAAATACACCGAACGAAAATAAAGAGAGTTTCTTGCAGGAATTGTATATACTCCACATGGCCAAAAACGTTCGTAATAAAATAATAATAAATGCCCGTTCCATTAACAAAGAAAACAAAGCAACAAAAAAGCGTCTTAACGATGCTTAATTCTCTTTGACTTGATGTAAACATTGCTTATGTACATATGTAGGTATTATGTATCTTAAAATCTGTATTTTAACGATAGCTTCTCGCTCAGCATTATTTGTTGCTGCAGTGTACTTACGTCCTTATCGCCCAGCCGCTCCACGCGGCAGTGGAGGAAGCCGGTCTGGCCGACGGTTACGGTCAAGTTGCGCGGCACGTCAAAGTCGAAGTAGGGCAGCAGATTCGAGGGCGAGATGGTGGTGGTCGTGGTAGTGGGCGGCGTGGGGGCAATAGCAGCGCTGGAGCCTGGAAAGAGGAGCAGATTCAGATGGATGTAGCATACATAGCGGCATAAAAGCTTGTGCCAAATGGAAATTTATTTCCATTTTCATTGGCACATACGTACGGGGCAACGTATTGTGTTGTTGGTTTTAGCAGAGCATTCAAATGCCCCCCGACCACAACTTGCTTTGGTGGCAGCCAAAGCCCTAACTGAAACTGAAAAGTAATAAAATTCGCATAAAAACTCTGCTCAAAAAACACACACAAGCATAAAAGCAACAAACGGATGTAGCGGGGGATAGGTGGGGGCGGGATACACACACATGTGTGTGTGTGTGTGTGTGTGAGAGTATATGGCACAAAAAATCCTCAACAAACAATTATATTTCGCTTTTTATTTCTTTTGGCATTTGTTTGATGGAAGCGGCCCTGGCACCTAAATGCTGAGTTTTTGCTGGAAAAGACTTGAAAATCGATCAAGTCCTTTGTTCAAGCATAGACATGGATGGGTTTGTCTTGTCTACCCAAAAGAATTTACAGAATTAAAGGCGCTCAGCAGGGATCTCTCCAAAAAAACATGAAATATTCTCAGTAAAATATTTTTTAAAATTACAGTTTGTATTTTTTCGGCTTCATGTTATGGTAAAAATGAGAAAAAACATTTTTATTTCAATTAAATATTTGCTTTTTAAGTAAAAAAGTAGCTTAAAAAAACCTAAAAATCAATGTGAGATATTAAATTCGTGGCAAATATATTTATCTTGAATACGATGCATATTTAGATCAAATATTTCCCATATAATTGGTAAAATGTAAGTAAAAATACACATTTTGTTGATGGGAAAATCTATTGGTAGCGTTGTCTGATGTACACCTGTTGGCGTTTGAATACATTATAAGAGCCATCCTTTATTTTATTCTTTATTATGCGCATAGACGAGCGAAGGGCTAATTATGACAGCAAAGAGGTTTTCCGGCCATCAACGCACTTCTCGCATGTTAATGGAGGGAGGAAAAAGTTGTCCATGCAGAGCCAAAAAGTTGTATGCTGCAGTCGGTAAAAGCCAAGTTAGATAACGACCAAGGAGCAGAGGGAAAGGGGCCTAAGTAAGTTCATCAATACGAAAAGAAGGAGGACGGAAAGTTGGGTGGCGAAAACTTTGCTCACATCAAAGCGACGAACAAATCGTCGTAGATCACATGCAGCCGACTGGAATAGGAATAATTGAATGAGGCGATACGAGACGAGTTTCGAGTTCCTGCTGGCTGGCGTCAGTTTATCGAACTTCGTGCCAAGCTTCGACTGGCAGTAAGGAATCAAACGGTGCTCCATGCCCTGCCGAAGGAGAAAAACTGCTGTTGCACATTTCCGTTTCCGCACGCGCCAAAAAAAGAGAAGCGAAAACTTTTGCCAGGCGCACGCACAGGGCACATGCACACACAGGCAGCGGGAAAACATACGCAAACTTTTTCCGCATGCGTAGGAACGTGAAAACATGAATCGACGCCACCACAGCAGTGGGGGGCGGCCACAATGAGGGGGATGTGGCTGGTAGCTGGTAGCTGGTGGGTGTTGCTTGCTGAAGACTTGACAAATTTTGCGATTTACTTTCTTTTTTTTTGAAAAATTTCCATCGCAAAGTTAGATTTAATGCGAGCCCGCAACATTTTCGTACGTGCGGCGCTCCATTTTCTGGCAATATGCAAAATATTTCGACACAGATAATACTGTAAGAGGAGCATCGGGAAAAAGTTGCCTACGCCCGACGAATAGCTGCTGCCCTCACCTGGAGTGAACCAAAAACATATTTAGGGAACATTCGCGGCATTGCCATATGATTATTTCAGCAACCGTCATTTCATATCTACTCAATAGAGCTATCTGCAGACAGGACCCGTAGATACTCTACGCTCTCCACCTAAGCCCCAGACCCAGAGGTATCACAGGCGACCGAAAATTAGCTTAGCAATGTTGCACGTTTGCGTGCGAGGGGCATAAACAGCGTTCCACGCGTGTGGGAATGGCAAGTGGTGGCATGAAACAGAACTTAATTTATTGTTTATCAGCGAGCATGCAATTTATGCCAGAAACGGGAGAGATTTTGATCCAAAAATGTATCCCCAAACCCGCTCTGGCATGCCCTGTGCTAATTTTAAGTTTATGCACGGAAAATTTGCTCATGCTGTGAAAATTAACGATGCGGCTGCTCGGGAATGCCTTCCACAGCAGCCTGTCGATGACTCCAATTTGGTGTTTGCTCTGTGCCTGTTTGCTTGTTTGCTTGTTTGCCCTGGGCCCACTGTGACATTTGATAACGAGGGAGCACTAGAACGCCAGAGCAGCAGCTGGTTGCTGTCGGATTCTCGCCTGGGCTCTGGATGGCCGCTTAATCAAAAGTGTTCAACACACCCGCGAACGCAAATGATGCATGATGCATGGCCTCCCAGCCTCGTCTGCGGTCGAAGGACCAAAAATATTTGTCGACTTTTTAACCCGAAAATTAGCAAATGTTGTGGAAAATGTTGCGGTTGTGGGTAGGCGCGCGAAAGGCATATGAATATTTATGGAGGTAATCCATGTCGAACGGCCTCAGCTCAAATTTCGTCCAACAACAAAAAATGATCGAATGGCTGACTGTTTAGTGTCGATGGGCACATTAATTGAGCGTGAAATGCAGTCGAAGGTGAATATTTGCTCGCTGCTTAATCTCTATTGAGTCTCCACTCACAGCACATTTGCTGAAGCCAAGTGGAACGTCGAGAATCCTTTGGATTGTTCGTGATCCCGGGCACTTAAGGTTAAGTTGCACTGACATCGCACTAAAGCATTGAGTGGCAGTGTGGCAGTAGACGATGCACCCAGCAGGGGCTTCCTTCGTCCTGCTTGACTTGGCACAAAACTGTCTAGACGTCAGTGCGGTGCGTCGAGGAGGGGAGGGGCTACAAAGAGAGTGATTGAGCCAGAGCCAGCTGGAGCTTCCTTAAATATATGCTGAGCTATCGATTATGCTCGAAAGTGTTTCCGTTTTGGCGTAGAACGGGTCGGTATTTCAGTGGCAACCAGCCATAAATATTTGCTTAGCGAATTGCAACGCTGCCTGCTGCTCTGTGCTCGGGCAAATTCAATCCGATTCAGTGGCAAATTAGCAAATATACGTGACTATAATTCCCAAGAATCCTTCCCCTTAGCTCGGAATTCGGCATACAATTAGCGAGCATCTTTCGATATTTTCAATAGTTTTTTCCAACCCATCCCCAAGGCAGTGCAATCAGCCAAGTTCCAGCAGAATATGCTCAAAGTAATCAGAGACGGAGCGGGGCCAAAGGGGAGTAAGCTGACTTCGCTTGTGTCTTGTTTTTTGGGTGAGTATTTTTTATGCCAGTGGAGTAAGCCACAGAGCAAACTATCCCTCCCTCTGCGAGGTCTGAGTGTGGGGGAAACGTTCTTTTTCGAGCGTCGCCATTTTTATGGCCAACGATGTCTGCCTCGATCTGCTTGGCTTTGCTCCATTTCCATTCCATCACTCAGTTGGCATTATTGGTGGCACATTTGGAATTTATGATTATTTTTCTGCTGGAGTCTGGATGTGGTGTGCCCCTATATGAATGCTTAAATACAAATACGCATACAAATCGGGCGAAACTATTAAAACTAGGCAACCATGACTCACAATGAGGCGACAACTTGGGCAATCAAATGATTCAAGCTGCGATTCTTGACATCCCCAGAAACTGTCGCCCGACCCTGTCGCATCTCAATGAGCATAAAAACCCATGAAAATGTTGCAAAGATGAACCGCCACCGCCAGGGCCACGGCCTTATTTAAAAACCGCCCCCGGCTTACATTTGCATGCGCCACACATGTCAGGCAGTGGGGGGAAATCCAAAAAAAAAAACAAAAAAAAACATAAAGTGAACGAAAATCGGAAACGAAATCAGATAAACGACTGCTGAATGCTGCTACAAGTGACGGATGTGTCTCGTAAACGCTTCGTCGAGATCGTTACACAGATGGAAAATAAAACTCAGAAATTATCTGAAATCGGTTTAAGCCCACGCTCTCGCTCTCGCTCTTGCACAATCAGAGGTGAGAGAGAGATTGCAACACCCCCAGAGGTGATATCATCGAGGAGCTTCGACTATAGCTCCTTGTGGGAACCACATGCTGGAAGCTTGAGTGTGCCACACGCACACACACGAACCAGCCAGCAACTGCTGGCGTTGGCAAGTTCCCACATTTGGGGCAGCATTCCAGCTGAGCTCAGCAGAAGCTGAAGCCACAGCAGCACACACAAAGTGTGCTTCACTTAAATACAGACATTAATCCGAGCACAGAATCTTATTTTCTAGCTGCCGGCATTTACATCCACATTCACGTTGGGCGTACTTCATCATCGAAATCGATCCGTTTGCTGCTGCTGCTGCTGCTGCAATTGCGAAAACAATTTCAGCTGCTTTATTGTTTGTAAATGCAATCCAATATTGGTTAACCCGCCAATAAAATTCTCTTTCTCTTCTCCTCCTCTCTCTCTCTCTCTCTCTCTCTACCTCTACTGCTGGCCTTTTCCTTTTCGAAAAATTGATTACACTTAATGGCGCAGATGAAACTGTAAAGTGCCCACCACACGGCGAGCGTATGTGTAATGTTCGAGCAATTATCATTGGCATATTGCAGGCCAGTCGCCAGCATTTGGCCTGTGGCCATATTTCACTTCCCTCTCTCTCTCTCTCTCTCACTCTCACTCTTACTCTCTCCCTCTCGTTCTCCTTCTATGGGAACGGAAACAGCAGGAGGATGAAGCGCAAGAGAACTGCTCTGGCAATTTTCTATTAAGTTTGCCTCCGTTCCGTCGATGCGAGCCCTCTCAGACATTGTGCGCACTTAGGCGCGACAATTAATTTATGGCCTAGACGTCCTGCCAACCCATAAATTATGCCCGCGAATGCCAATGAGAATGCGGGAATGCGAACGAAGAACATGACGTATGAGTAACGAGAGTTGCCACAGATACGAGCGACAGGA